GCCCCGCGTCCCTCCAGGCTGGAGCCTGGCCTGGGCCGCCTCTGCGGGACTCCGCGGGGCCCGGGAGGGCGTGCAGTGCGCCGGGCCCCAGAACCACCTTTCCCTGCGCAGTGTGAGGTGTGGGTGGGCGGACCTTGCCCCTCGGCCCCACGGGGCCCGGCCTGACTCCACGAGGCCCCAGCCTGGCCGACAGTCCTTGTGGGCAGCCCCCTCCTCACGCCTGTGGTCTGGTGACGTCGGATCACGGTTAATGTGGAGGCGGGGTGAGGAAGCGTGGAAGCGGCTTCCCCTCCCAGGCCTGGGGGTGCAGAGGGGGCTTGGGGTCGGCTGGGATGGGGAGCAAGTCGGGGCTGAAGCAGGTGCCTGAGTTCGCTGCAGGTGGAGGCGGGGCGGCCCTGGGGGATCTGGGCTGAGTCCTGGACGTCCCTGCCTGCCCCCTGCCCCGTTTAACTTCACACTCACCCTTAACAGCCACCTGTCAGCTCGTTGTCCTCTCAGCCCCGTCCTTGGTTGAAAATAGGGTGCTCAAACGTCAGAGCCACGTTTAAATCTCAGTTTGGAAGCCTTCTCCCTGTGCGTGTAGAGAGAGATGTAGTGGCGTGGTGACAGTGCCCAGCTGATCCTTTGGGGGATTCCCTTTTTTTTTAATTCTCCGTCGGCAGCCCCTGTTCCTGGACTTTAAAATTCCAGAGGCTTCTATGAGACCATCAGTTCCTCTCTCAGGGCCTATAGAATGCCAGACCTTTTCCTCCTGCGGTTTAGGGGGCAAGACCTAGCAGGAACTTTTCTTAGAAATAAGGGGTCCAACTTGCCCTCTGTGCCTTCCTTTCTGGAACTGGACACAGTATGTATGTAGCATTAATAAAATATGCTCATATAAAAATACTTTTATCCTCTGCCAGTAGAATGAAAGCTTTAGGAGGGCAGGGCTGTCTCTGTTTTGTTCACTGTATCTCTAGTGTTGACACACTGCCTGGTATACAAGGGGACTTCAGAATATTCTGCGAAAATGGAATTAAAGTTCAAGTTTATTTTGGTGCTAAACATTTTGAAAGCCATACATACTTTTTTCATGATATATATTTTCCATGAACTTCTTGAGGAACTTCGTGTAGTAGGTACTCAGTTCAGGAATATCCTGTGTATTTGTATTTTGAGGACTGGGGCATGCCACACGTTTTCAGAGACCTCAGTGTATTACTTTAGCTATGTTGCTGTCATTTCTAGTGTTTCTCCAGTGTACATAATGGCAGCATTGGTGACATGCATTAGTCCTGAGATTTTTAGGCCAGTAAGGTTCTAGGATTCTCAGATGAGACCTCCACCCCACCACCTACACATTGCAGTAGTCTCACTTCTATTAACTTTGTGTATCTGGTTTCTGGATACTTTTTTTTTTTTTTTTTTTGCTATAGGGTGAGTTTGTTTGCCAGAGAAAGAGAGAACGAGAGAGAGAGGGAAAGAAAAATCGTCCCCCAGGGGGATGGCCATGTGGCAATTTCTTCTCCTTTCTCCTGGGATTTTGGACATGCATGATCTCACACATGCCTGCCATGTTTTTCAAGCCACGGGACCTGGGACTCCACGTGCAGTGGGCCTTAACTGTCACACCAGCAAGCTGGCCATATTTTTCTTTTTAAGTTTATTCACTTATTCCATGAGAGATGGAGACAAGCATCCTTACCAGGGCTCTCAAGCCAATATCTAACTCCAGTCTCAGCTAGCCGGGAACACAGGCACATCTATGTGCCCAGCGTGTGCACAAAGAGGGATGCAAACCTTAGACTCTCCCATGTGGTCTGAGCATTGTGTTACGTTGTACTTCTGAGCCACTGCAATTATTTTATTTTATTTTATTTTTTTAAATCATTCTGTTGCAGAAAAGCAAACTACCATCACCATCACCAAAAATGTTAAATTTAAAAGCCAGTAACCTCATGCATATAACTCAGAGAACCTCTGTTATCTGGAGCAATGGTCCCAATCTTTTGGGTACCAGAGACCAGATTCAGGGAGGACATTTTTTCCGCTGACTGATGTGCCATGGGATGGTTTTGGAGTGATTTAAGCACATTACATTTATGGTGTACTTTATTTCTATTTTTATTATATTGTAAAGTGTAGTGAAATAATTATATGCTCACCATACTGCAGAATCAGAGCCCTGAGCTTGTTTTCTTGTAACTAGAATGCAGCTGTGTTCAAAGCCAAACTGGAATGAATGGGGGCGATGAGTGAACAATGGGATTTTTTGACATGTTCCAATGTGAAAATTTAGTGCTGCTACTGATCTGACAGGAAGCGGAGCTCAGGCAGTATGTGGACTATGGGGAGCGGCTGTAAATACAGATGAAGCTTCATTCACTTGCCTGCTACCCACCTGCTGGGTCATGGACTGTGGTATTGGTCTGTGGTCCTGGGGCATGGGGACCCCTGACATAGAGGATGCTATGGGCAGGAAATTACCATGTCCCTGAGACTAAAACCCAGCAACTCAACTCATGGGTTTAGGGCAGGGTTTCTCAATCTTGGCACTGTTGACATTTGGACCAGGTCACTTGTGGGCTTGTTGTGTGTGTCGTGGGATGTTCAGCAGCATACCTGTCCTCTAGCCACTAGATGCCAGCATTACTGCCATGGTGGTGACAACTACTATGTCTCTGGACATTACATGACAATAATCACCCTGGTAGAAAATCAGTGGTTTAGGGGGATGTAAATTCTCACAGGCCATTAACAAGATATTTGTATCATCTTTTAGTAGTTGAGCCTTTTTTAAGTTTTTCTTGCTTTTAAGAGAAAATTGCCAGTAAAATGAATCGGAGTATCTGAGGGTCAGCATCACGTGTTGTCACTTGTCCCGTGAGGTAAGTCAGTAATGTAGTGTGGGCGGGTTTTGTGCTCTCACCATAATCCTGTGCTTGGAGTTTGGGGACTCTAGTTTTAGAGTTCTTCCTGCCTGTTCTCTTGCCTGTTGGCTGTCATTGGTGGCTGCTTTAGGAGAGAGATGTCAGTGGTCTCTTACGGTCAGCTGTTGGCATCTAATTTACAGCCTCAGATGTGTTGTGCAGTGGGACTGCTGTTAATGAAGGCTGTGATAGCTTTGAGTAGAGGCCCACGGGCCTTTGCTAAGAAGTCAGTTGTATAGCTTTTGAAACTGCCTACTTTAGGATATATATTTTTTTCTTTTAGAGTACATTCATAGATTAGGGAATTTATAGAGCTGGAAACATTTTTGGAGATTATCTAATCCAGACTTCTCTTGTTTCCATTTTACACTCAAGAGTAAGCCCATCAGACTAGGGGCATTGTCCAAGGTCAGTTAATTTCATTAATTTCAGTGCTAAACCATAAGCTATAGTTCTGATTCACAGTCAAGTGCTGTTTCCAACGTAATGTGGTTCTTAGAACCAGAGAATTGATGCTAATAGTCGGCGTGTGGTTATGTGTGGCTTTGTCCTAGATTATGTGGGACAGCCTCTCCTTTCACTCACGCATGAGTATTTATAGGGCCCTGTCAGGTACTAGCTAATGTTCCTAAGGCACTTGGAACAGTACTGGCACATGGTAAGCACTTTGCTTTGACGATGATGATGTCACAGGTCTTAAGGTGGACGGGGTCGTGATGAGCCGGGTGAGGTGCGGGATATGGTTCTTGCTGAGTGGGCTTACATTTCAGCTGGGAGAAGAGTGTGAGCTGGGTGATTCTGTTTTCTTTTAACCTGGTATTTTGACTTTCCTCTTAGATGCTTTCTTCACATGTCGAAAAAACGCCCTCCTGGCCAAGAGCTCGTCCCCCCAGGTAGAGGGCGACTTTGCCATGGCCCCTCGGGGCCCTGACCAGGAGGAGTGTGAGGGCCTGCTGCAGCAGTGGCGAGAAGAAGGGTCGAGCCAAGTGCTCTCAACGGAGATTGAGGGTCCCCTTGCAGATAAGGGACTGGCCCAGAGCAGCCTGGCACTCTTGATGGATAATCCTGCAGAACAGGAAGCCACTTCAGAGGACAGGTGGCCCAGCAGGCAGCTGAGTGACCTGCGGGCAGCAGAAGAACTGAAGGAGCCTTTCTCCGAGGTGCTAGGAGAGGAGCCACTGCCCGAGGCCGAAGGCCCCATGTGGGCAGCCGTTCCTATGCAGACGGGCCCCCAGTATGCAGACTGCTCTGTCCTCCCAGTGGGTGCCATGGCCGCAGAGCAGTGGGAAGAGGACCCTGCAGTGATGGCCTGGAGCATAGCACCTGAGCCGATGCCCCAGGAAGAGGCTTCCATGTGGCACTTTGAGGGCCTGGAGCAGTTGCAGCCTCCCCCAGTGGAAATACCATATCATGGTGAGTGACAACTGGCTGTGTGAGCCAGGGCAGCAGGCTGTCTTGGGCGTGGGTGGAACTGTCACTGGAGCGAAGGTCCCCTGGCAGGAGCTGTGCCAGTGTACTCCGCGTGGCTGAGCATCTCACAGGGGCAGATCTAGAGAGGCCTTACAGATTTGTGTCATACAGCCCCGTCATCTGGCCTGCAGGTGAAATAACCACAGTGCAGAGAGGTGGCAGGGCAAGCTGAGACCACATAGTGGGGTAGTGGAAGAACTGAAACAGACCCTAGTTCTGATTCTCTACGCTGTCATTTCTCTGGAGGTGGCACAAGGGCTTTCTTGGGTAGGGCGGAGGGGTTTGGGGCCTCTAGTCTGCTTCAATTAGAATAACTCATGTCATCGGTGTCACATGTTGAGTGTTCATGAACAATTTTTTTTTTTTTTTGGAGAGGTTTTTTCGCTATAGGGTGCGCGTGCTCGCCAGACAGACAGAGAGACAGAAAGCGAGAAATCACCCCCCAGGGGGGATGGTCACGCCACAATCCCTTCTCCTCCATTCTCCTCTCAGGATCTTGGGCATGCACGCACACCTGCCCAGCATGAGTTTTAAGCCACCAGGTCCGGGACACGAACCGCGGTCGATTACGTGGGAGTCCAGTGACATAGCCATTACGCTAACTGCTGGTTCCCAGAGTGTTCATGAAAATTTGAAGACAGAGTTCCATAGCCCAGATAGGTTCAAAATCCCCTATGCTGTCTGATGCTTTGAGGGAGAGGGACTGGGTATGTCATGGTCTTTGGCCCCACAGACTGTTCCAGGTGTACAGGTTGGAGAACACCCAAGGCTGACACTATTTCAGAAGTGTCTTTAACCTCAGGGGACTGTTAAGCATACCCATTTGAATGATTCTCGAGAGGCTCCTGGATTTATCAGGAGTGAAAGGTTGTCGGACTATGAAAGTTGGTCTAGTATCTATTAGGTGTTAGGTGTGAGGGATGCAGTGGTGAGCAGGCCAAGGCCGTCTCTGGCTTTGTGGAGCTAACCATGTAAGCTGAAGAATGTCTCTAAAGTGCTGCTCAAATCACTGCAGAGAGGAATGGGTGACAGGGAAGATGGAAAACGGAACTTTGGGCCTAATATTACCAAGTCAGGCATGGAGACGGTGAGTCCTCTGGGTAACACAGACTTGTCATGCATCTCTCCCCCCACCCCTTTGCAGAAATCTTGTGGCGAGAATGGGAGGATTTCTCCACCCAGCCAGATGCTCAGGGCCTGGAAGCAGGGGACGGCCCTCAGTTCCAGTTCACTCTGATGTCTTATAACATCCTGGCCCAGGACCTGATGCAGCAGAGCTCAGAGCTCTACCTGCATTGCCACCCAGACATCCTCAATTGGAACTACCGCTTTGCCAACCTCATGCAGGAATTCCAGCACTGGGACCCTGATGTGAGTGAAGAGGGGAGGAACTGCAGTGTTGGTGCTGGCCCTGGGCTGTCTCCCAGTGCTCTTGGGAAATGAGTTCAGCCCCATAGTGGTTTCAGTGATTGGGGTCCTGCCTAGGGCTGGGGCTGCCTGGAGTCTGGAATTCTTAAAGCATGCACTTTTGAGCATCTTTATGCAGAGAGGAGACTTGTGGGATTCTAGAACAGGAAATCCAGTGCATATGTCTGGTTTCAGCCTAAGTCTGGGCCTGTTCTTGCCATTGGTGACTGGGAAGGGTGGACTTTGTGGCAAGTTCAGGTGTGAGCCTACCTGAGAGCCACAGTAGTTTCCCACCTGGCCTTGGGTCTGCTCCTAGCGGGTACAGTTATATTCTAGCACTCTGGAGTGATTGATTTCCTTGCCAATTTCCCAGATCCTGTGTCTCCAGGAAGTCCAGGAAGATCATTACTGGGAGCAGCTGGAGCCCTCTCTGCGAATGATGGGTAAAGCAGCCTCTTCCTGCAGCCCCGTCTGCTCTCTCCTGAGGACACCATCTTTTTCTTTTGTCTTAGTAAACCCTCATTCTTAACTGTGAGCCAGCTTTTTCCATGAGTGGGTGAGAAAGTAGAATTCTCCAGCTTTTTTTTAAGTTTGCTGTAGGTCACAGGCAATCACTGGAGAGAAAGAAAGAGAGAGAGGGAGTGAGAAATCACCCTCAAGGGGGCATGGTCATGCCACAGTCCCTCTCTTCTCTTGGGAATTTGGGCATGCATGCATATGTGCCTGATGTGATTTTCAAGTTATACTGTGTAGTTGGCTATGTGAGATCTAGCTGTCTTAATCTCTGTGTCACTTGTTGGCCCAGAGTTCTCCAATTTTTAAAGCAAGTCTGACACATATTGCCATTTAAATATTCTCAAAGAATTATTTATTTAATTTTTTAAGAGAGAGTTCTATAGGGTGTGTTTGCTCACCAGAGAGGCAGAGAGATAGAAAGAGAGAAATCACCCCCTGGGGGATGGCCACATTGCAGTCCCTTCTCCTCCATTCTCCTCTTGGAATCTTGGGCACGCACGCACACACACCCAGCGTCAGTTTAAAGTTGCTGGATCTGGGACTGGAGCTGCGGTTGGCTATGTTGGAGTCCAGTGATGTAACCATTATACCATCTGCTGATTCCTATTTATTTAATTTTATTTATTATTATTATTGTTTTTTAGCTGACTATAGCACTCACCAGAGAGAGACAGAGAGGACAGAAAAAGTGGGACTATAGCACTGAACAGAGAGAGACAGAGAGGACAGAAAAAGTGGGAAAGCAAGCTGTCAGGTGTGGAACTCAAATCATAATCAGCCATGTGGGAGTCCAGTGCCTCAATCACCATGCCATCCACTGGCCCTGCCATTTAGTCTTTGAAGTAACCAATCTGATGTGGCTATTACCCTATTCTACAAATGAGGAAACTGAGGTTCTGAAAACTTGTGCGACTTGCTCAGAAGTCACAAAGCTGGTGGGTCTGGGCCTAGGATTTTGACTTTCTGACTCCCAATTCCATGCTCTTTCTATCATGGCTTATCCCTCTCTCCCTCCTTCAGTTCCTCAGTCATCATAAGGGAACCTCTGCACGACCTAGGAACTGGCGAGGGTGAAGGCTCCCATTGCTGAGCAGCAAGAGTACTGCTTTCGGCACACATACCTGGGCTGTTGCTGCTGGTTGGAAGGGATTCAGGCTTTGAGGTCTCTGACTCATCTACTCGGCTTGGTTTTCCTTGCAGGGTTCACCTGTTTCTATAAGAGGAGGACTGGATGTAAAACGGATGGCTGTGCTGTCTGCTACAAGCCGACCAGATTCCGTCTGCTCTGTGCCAGCCCGGTGGAGTACTTCCGGCCTGGCTTGGAGCTTCTTAATCGGGACAATGTGGGCTTAGTACTGCTACTGCAGCCACTAGTCCCAGAAGGCCTGGGGCAAGTCTCGGTGGCCCCTCTTTGTGTGGCAAATACCCATGTCCTATATAATCCACGCCGGGGCGATGTCAAGCTGGCCCAGATGGCCATTCTCCTGGCCGAAGTGGACAAGGTGGCCAGGTTGTCAGATGGTAGCCACTGTCCCATCATCCTGTGCGGGGACCTGAATTCCGTCCCTGACTCACCTCTCTACAACTTCATCAGGGATGGAGAGCTCCAGTACCATGGGATGCCTGCCTGGAAGGTGAAATGGGAGAGGCCATGTAGGGTGGGCACAGGGGCCAAGGAGACACTCGAGTGACAGCATCCAGCGGTGCTTCTGTGCAGGGACCTCGGTTACACCTGCTCTGGCTCCTTCCTGCTTCTCCTTGTTATGTGGAATAGCTCGTGCCCAAGCCTGGAAGTTAGGAACTCTTGAGTACCTTTGGCATATTGGAATCCTTTCCATTTTTATCATTACTTTATTTCTAACTCACAATGAATACATAAGTACATTCTTGTAAGAATTCAAATATAAAGTAGGGCAAAAAGCCCCCTGTATTATATTCCCTACCTTTTCCTCTTAGAATCAAGTAATGACTGCTCTAAGTGTGGTGGTGTTCTATCACATCGCTTTCTATGCATTTATAGTGCCATCCAGGGTCCTGGGATACTGTAATAAACATTTACATATATTAAGCTGTTTTAAGCACTTTACATTATTAGCTCATTATTTTTTTTGGCAAATTTTATCACTGGTTCTGTTTTATAAATGAGGAAACAAAGGCACAGAGCTTAAGTAATTTGCTCTAGTTTATGCAAGTAGTTGTGGAGCCAGGATTTGTTAACCAGGTGGTCTGGCCCCAGAGCTCTTGCCCTCAGATATGTTATGATTGCTTATAACAGCCTTCATGTAGTCTGCTGCGTGTTTTATAAACATGATATATATTGAATGGTTCATTTGCAGCTTTTTTCTCCCATTCAACAATTTGTATAGCGATCTAAGTTCTTAGAACTGCTGAATGTTGATAGTATAGATACCTTGTTTTCACTGATTTTTTAAAAAAATATATATATGTCACTTAATCTCCTTGCTCCTCTGCTATTTCTGAACCAAATTACTGACCCAAATTACTGCTTAGCTTTTGGCATGGCACATGGAGAAAGGACACGAAATGTTTGAATTATTATTGAACACTTGGGCCTTTTATTTTCATGAGATTGCTCATGTGCCAGCAACGTCCTAGTTGCCATGTGTTCAGAGAAAGGCATTATTCTGCTCTAAAGGAGCTGTAATCAGAGCTCAGAGGAAGGGATAAAGAATCTACTAAGAGATGGGATCAGCAGATGGCATAATGGCTACGTTGTTGGACTCCCATGTAGTTGACTGCAGTTCGAGTCCTGGACCTGGTGGCTTAAACTTACGCTGGGTGCGTGTATGTGCATGCCCAAGATCCCGAGAGGAGAACAGAGGAGAAGGGATTGCAGAGTGGCCATACCCCCTGGGGGATGATTTCTCGCTTTCTGTCTCTCTGTGTCTCTGTCTTTCTGGTGAGTTCACGTGCCCTATAGCAAAAATCTCTCCAAAAAAAAAATGTATTTGCAAAAAAAACCACGAAAAAAAAAAAAAAAAAAAGAGGGGCCAGCAGGTGGCATGGTGGTTAAGGGCGCTGGACTCCCACATGGCTGATTACGGTTCAAGTCTCAGACCCAGTGTCTTGCTTTCTTGCTTTCTCTCTCTTTCTGGCCAAATTTAAAAATAACAATATAAATACAGTTAAATAAAATAATTAAAAAAAAAAAGAAGATACTGAGAGACTATACATGCAGACTGGTAGGTATAGTGAATAAGGGCACTTGACTTTAAAGCCAGACAGTCATGAGTTCAAATCCCCACTCTATCACTTTGAGCAAGTTACTTCATTTTCTTAAGCCTGATTTGCCTCATCTGTACATTGGGAATGTAGTAGGACCTGTTGTAGAGGTGTCTTTTTGTTTTGGGTTTTTGTTTTGTGTTGTTTTGGTGGATTAAATAATATATGTAAAGTATTTTCTAGTATCTGATTCAAAGGAAACAGTCAATAGTAATGGTTATTATTAAGATTGTTAATTGCACATGGTATTATTATTCCATTTATAGTAGAGGATATTGAACCCAACTAACTAACTTGCCCAAAGCCACGTGGCTATTACATGGCCGTTAAGTTCTCAGTCTCTTTTACTGCAGCTAGCACATTGAAAACTTATGCCCGTAAAAGGGCAGAGGGACTGCGTCTGTCACCGCCCCGTCCCAGCACTTAGCTAGTGTCTTGCGCATAGTTGGCACTCAAATATTTGTTGTTGTTAAATGAAATAAAGGGGGCTTTGCTACGCGTGTTGGAGATGTGCAGATGACTGATGTTGCCGAACGTCTCCCCTGCTACGTTCTGTCCGTTTCCGGGCTGCTCATTGGCTTTGACCGAGGATGGTGACATGGATACGGTAATGTGCTTTGGTGCATTTTCCATTCAGCCTGACCCTGTGGTTTCCCAAAATTAGGCTTGAGATCTTAGACTTGATCCAGATCAAATGAGCCTTTTCCTGTTGCAAGATAAAGCCCCCCGAGAGCTGCTATTCCCTGTGGAGAATTGTGTAGGTCATTTCTGAGGTGAAGGTTAGGGGACCACCTGTCCATACAGTTGGATTCTCCTTGACTCATTTATCTCACTCTTTTACCCCTCATTCCTGTCTCATGGACATTTCAGTGTTTCTAGTGAAAATGTAGTGGTTTTAATTAGCACCTTATTTTTAACCCTCTCCTGAGACTTACATGGCTTGCTTATACCGTGTTTGTGGTGTGTGATTGTATGTGTTTGTATTTGTCCACATGACCCAAAACATGGGCTCTTACTTCCTCTTTCTGTCTTGGTTTCCTCATTCCCCCCTGCTCTTGCCTTGTAGGTATCTGGACAGGAAGACTTCTCCTATCAGCTTTACCAGAGGAAGCTGCAGGCCCCACTGTGGCCCAGCTCCCTGGGCATCACCGATTGCTGTCAGTATGTTACCTCCTGTCACCCCAAGAGATCAGGTGAGCCTGTGTCAGTCTTCGCTGGCTGTGCTTTCACATCCACTTTGGGAGAAAGGTGCACTTCAGTGACAAGGGAAAATACAATTCCCTCAATTTCTTCGCAAGCTCCTGTTTTTCTCACTTCCCTCCCCCAGTCACCTAGTGAAGTGGACAACTCAGAATCCTAGCTGTTGGAAAATCTCATGTCTTCAGAGCCATACGTCTCTCTGTGTCCCTGTGCTGGACACTTCTTGATATTGAGGTGTCAGCATGCAGCTCGTTTTCTTTTCGTTCACCGTATGACTTTTCCTGGTTTACAGAGAGACGTCAGTATGCCCGAGACTTCCTGCTCCGTTTCCGCTTCTGTGCCATCGCTTGTCAGCGACCAGCAGGACTGGTTCTTATGGAAGGAGTGACAGACACCAAGCCAGGTAATGGGAGCTTAGCCTGTTTCTTGGCCTTCTTTCCATCTTTTCTAGATTTAATTCTCAGAGACTGCTCGTGTTAGTAAGAATACCTAGAAGATTGTTTGACTGAAGTGGCAATATGCATGCATGGATTTGCAAGGTCAATAGAGCACTGGACTAGGGGTGAAGAGACCTGGTTCTGACTGGCTTTGAGAACTCGAGTAAGCCACTTAACCTTCCTAGGCGTAAGTCACTAATAACTAGCATGTATACAGTATGTGTGGGAGAGAAGATACACATGTTAAGGCTTTAAAAATCATAGGCTAACAATCATCCTGGTTGCAATAAAGCATTCTAGTGAGAACTTCCAGATCAAATGTAGCAGAGTAACCTTGATATTCTCCTCTTGTCTCTGAAACCATTCTAAAGCAGTAAGAATGGGAAAAAAGAAATGCAAACTCTACCGTTGACAAAAAGTAGGCATTCTGAAGACAGCCTTAAACCATGACCCACACCACAGATGGAGTGGCTGCAAGAAACCCTGGAAATCATATGGGGGGCTGAGGACGTATGGAGAGACTTACCTGTGGGACCGTGTGTGTCTCAGAAAGAACCAGCAGAGTACAGTTCTCCAAGGTGGGGAGTGTCCCTTGTACCAAAGTCCTTATTTTTCCAACAAGAATTGAATGCACAGGTAGCGATAAGAGAGTTTCTGCATCTCTTGTCATCCTAAGAGGCAGTGGAGGAAGGATTAAGCAAGGAATCAAGCCACATTACAGTAAGCAGCCTGTTCAGATGGCAGAGAGGTAACGTGATACTTAAAGAGCCACATATCTCTTTTGGCTGAGAAGTGAAGAGTAAAGGGACTGGTACATAACTCTGGGTCATGAGGAAAGTCCTGCTACTTGGACTGCATACCAAGCCCTTCCCTTCAGTACACTTATTACAGATAGCCAGTGCAGAAAAACCTCAACTTATTAAAAGATGGGCTTGCCCAAAAGGAGCAGCATGGGGATCTGTGCTAAAATACTTCCAGAATAAAAGGAGGAAGGAATAGAAAAACAAAAGGTAGACAGAGAATACCGAATTTGTACGATAAAAATTGTTACCATGACGCAAATGGAAATTGTGATTATTTTCCTATGAATAAGAAGAATGAAACCATTGCCTTTATAAAAGGAGAACACAAAAGAAAAGAATAAAATTTTTAAAAATCACAAAAAATGAAGGCAGGTTGGATACAGCACAAGAGTGAAAACATACTGCTGAAAACAAGGCAGGAGACAGAGGATGAGAGGTTTTCGCTATAGGGCGTGTGCGCTCGCCAGGCAGACAGAGACAGAGAGACAGAAAGCGAGAAATCACCCCCCAGGAGGATGGTCATGCCGCAATCCCTTCTCCTCCATTCTCCTCTCAGGATCATGGGCACGCACGCACACGTGTCTGGCGTGAGTTTTAAGCCACCGGGTCCGGGACGTGAACTGCGATCGACTACATGGGAGTCCAGTGACATAGCCGTTACGCTAACTGCTGGTTCCCTAAAAGAGCATTGTATGCCATCTAAATTATCAAATTTATTGGCATGAAGTTGTCCATAACAGTCCCTTGCCTTTTTTTTTTTTTTCTTTAAGGTTAGAGGAAGTGCACTCACTGGAGATAGACAGTGAGAAAGTGAGAAATCATCCCCTCATGGGGGATGGTCACACCTGTCCTTTTTTCTCCATTTTCCTTTCTGGATTCTGGACCTGCATGCATCTGTGCCTGGCATGCACTGGGTTGGGGACTCAAATCACGCAGTAGTGCTTTAACCACCATGCCACCTGCAGGCTCCCCTTTATCCCTTTTTAAAGGTAACTTTATTCGGGACCAGCAGTTAGCATAATGGCTACGTTGCTGGACTCCCATGTAGTCGACCACGGTTCAAGTCCTGGACCTGGTGGCTTAAACTCACACTGGGTCCGTGTGCGTGTGTGCCCAAGATCCCGAGAGGAGAATGGAGGAGAAGGGATTGTGGCTTGGCCAACCCTTTGGGGTCTGTCTCTCTCTGTCTTTCTGGTGAGCACATGCACCCTATAGCAAAAACCTTTCCAAAGAAAAAAATTTAAAGAAATTTATGTATCATAAAATTTACTCATTTAAAGTGTGCAGTTCATTGGATCTAAATATATCAGAGTTTTGCAACCATCAACACAGTGTAATTTTAGAACATTTTCATTACCCACAAAAGAAACCCTATCCCTGTTAACAGTCAATTTCCATTTATATGCCTTTGTCTATAATCAATTGACTATATGAGTTTCTGAACTCTTGGTTCTACTCCATTCACCACTGTGTCTGTCTTTATGCCAGTACTTCACTGTCTTGATTATTATAGTTTTGTATATTTTTAAATAGGAAAGTGTAAGTCCTGTCAGTTTGTTGTTTTTCAAGATCATTTTGACTATCCTGAGTCTTTTGCATTTCTGTATGAATTTCAGGATCAGTGTATCGATTTCTGCTATAGATCAATTTGGGAAGTATTTATTTATGTTTTACGTTTTTGACATAGGGCATGTGCGTTCCTGGAGAGAGACAGAGAGACAGAGAGAAAGTAAGAAATTAATTTACCGGGGGGATGGTCACACCATAATCCCTTCTCTGATTTTGGGCACACACACGCATATGTGCCCTGTGTGATTTTCAAGCTGCCAAGTCTGGGAAGTGAACTACTCTCGACCATGTAGGAGTCCAGTGCCTTCATCACCACGCCACCTGCTGGCCCCATGAGAAGTACTGCCATTTTAACAATACTGCCTTATCAATGAACATGGGCTATCTTTCCACTTATTTACATTTTCTTTAATTTCTTCCCATGCTTTATAGTTTTCAGTGTCTTCTAATACTTTTGTTAAATTTATTCCTAATTGGGACCAGCAAGTGGCATAGTAGATAAGACACTGAACTCACACACAGCTGACTGCAGTTTGAGTCTTGGATCTGGTGTCTTGGAAATCATGCCAGGCTCATGTACATACATTCCCAGAATTCCAGGCAGAGAATGGAGGAGAAAGGATTGCAGTATGGCCATCCCCCTTGGCAGGGGGAGGTGATTTCTCACTTCCTCTCTTACTGTCAGTCTTTATTTTGATATCAGTATTTATACTGAGTGACCATATGACCTATTCTAAAAAGAGGCCTACATTATTTTTTTTAACGGTGCTGAACCAAGGAAGACAGTTTTTATGTTAGAGACATGTATTTCTCTCTTCTAGAGGCTCTTGACTTTGGTTCATTGTTTTCTTTCTGTCCTTACTATTTGTTTTTCCCTTTCTCCTTCTGGATCTTTCTGGAACAGTCTAGTTAAGGATCTGAGAGGGATTTCCTGGAAGAAAGATCTGACCCTGCTTCATTGTCTACGAATGATAAAACCTTTTTTTCCTTTGGTCCCCTACAGAGCGACCTGCGGGTTGGGCCGAGTGTATTCTTGAGGAAGATACATCTGAACCTGAGCCAGTCTTCCCCAGGTAACCTCCCCTCAGTTCTCTTCTGCTGTTAGTCCAGTTCTTACCTCTGTGTGTGAGACTCCCACTGGTATCCTGAGACTGATTTGGGCAGTACTTTGTGCTAAGTGCTCTGCTCCCCAATACCTGCTAAGCTTATAGAGGTGCATCTTAGTATGCAGAATCCAGAAGTGACTGGCCATGTTTTTACAGATGGAAAGCCCCTGTCCCCTCTCCTTAGCAGGAAGGCCTGATAGCAGAGCTTGTCGGCCCACAGACAGGGCAGGTACCCTGTATCAGGCAGCCCTTGGAGACTGATGAGAAGTTTTAGGGTCTCTGTATCACTGTGTCATTTCTAGGGTAACTTAAGCTACAACTGCCTTTCTCTTATGAGCATGGAAAGGGATTTGCTGAGACGGACTCATTCCAGATCATCCCTTTAAGAACTTCCTAACACACACATAGATAAGCCATTGTGACCTTGAGAAACCTGAATAAGTCACATTGACATCCTGACTGACAACTCCCCTTCCATCTCTGTAGGACCATAGGTACCATCCAGCACTGTCTCCACCTGACGTCGGTGTATACCCATTTCCTGCCCCAGCATGGCCGCCCAGAGGTCACCACGATGCCCTTGGGTCTAGGAATGACAGTGGATTACATCTTCTTCTCAGCCGAGCCCTGCGAGAATAGGGGCAATACTGGTAAGCCTGGTGGATCCTGGGCTCCTTGAAGTCTCTCCTGGGGTCCCTGGGAACAGACGTTTGGTGGCATGGCTTGGGCTGCTGGGACTTGGCCTGCCAAGGAGCAGGTTTCATTCCTGCCTGGCAAGGGTCATCCTCATCCTTCTCCCCATAGGCCACTTGCCTGTCTTCTCTCTTTCACCCTTGCAGGATTAGAGAGTGGTGACTAGAACAGTCATGCACCATCCCTATTTTAGAAGTAAAACAGAGCACCGGAGGGTGATTGGACCTGTTCAGTGACTGCCAGTTAGTGAGGGACTTCGTGAGGTCAGAGACCCTGTTTCCTGTTCCTCACTCTATACCAGTAGTATATGACTGGTATTGTCCTGTCAGCTCCATGCCAATTTTGTTTGAAGAATTTTTTTGTTTGTTTGTTTTTTAATGTTTGAGTTGAGGGCCTAGCAGGTGCTGGACTCCCACATGGCTGACTGCAGTTTAGGTCCCAGACCTGGCTGTTTGAGAATCATGCTGGGCCTACGTAGATGTGTGCTCCAAATCCCAAGAGGAGAATAGAGAAGGGACTGTGGAGTGACCATCCCCCTGGGAAGTAATTTCTTGCCTTCCCCCCTCTCTATCTCCAGCGAGTGCACATGCCTTATGGCAGAAACCTAAAAAAAAAGAAAAAAAAGTTTGAGTTGATTACTCATGTTTAAAATTCTGATTTCTGATGGCTTGACCAGTGTGCCACAGCCCCCCTGGACCCCGTCCTCATTCATTGATATTATCTTGGAGCATGTCTGAGAAAACCAGGCCTCCTCAGGCACAGGCCACCTGACCTAGGGGTATACCGATTTCCTAGAGGCTGAGGAGGCTGGGAGGAAGGGTGGGACAGCTGCATAAAGGGTGTTCCCAGAGGGGCCTGCCCCAGCCCCCTGCACCCCCACCAGATCACAGGCTGTATCGAGATGGAACTCTCAAGCTCCTGGGCCGTCTCTCCCTTCTCTCCGAAGAGATTCTCTGGGCTGCCAATGGCCTACCCAACCCCTTCTGCTCTTCAGACCACCTCTGCCTGCTAGCCAGCTTCGGGATGGAAGTCACCACCCCATGATGGGGCTCCGAGGGAAAAGAGCTTCTCTTCTAGAAGAGCTCACTGGATCAGAGACTGTGGAAATACCCCATGCTTCTGGAAACTTAGATCCAAGAAACTTAACGTCCCCTCCCTCCCCCTCCTTGTTCCCTTTTTCCCATGGTTAGATTTTCTCCAGGCCTGTCCACATTCTCTGCCTGTGGTCCCCACCCCGTCCTAACCTCTTCCTAATCCTGTGCCACATAGGAGATGTGGCCCTGGGAGAGGCAGAAAGGGGTTCCCCCTTCCTTCCGTGTATCCAGCGCTACCCCTTGATTTTTAATTACCAGGGTTGCGGGAGCTATTGATCTCATTGGTTATTTGCTTTAAGGTGGTTTCTTGGTGGTCCCTTCTGACTCGGCCTTCTCCCTGCCTTCATGACCCTTGGGCCCATCCCTCCCGCCAGGCAGGCACATGTAGGCTATGCATGCCATGAGTGCATCCTCCTGGGTGGGACCGCTGTGCATGGCCATGCCTGCCTCTGCCCAGCCCTCTCGCCACGTCTGGGCTGTAGCTGAGGGCAGGAGAATGTGTGCTGCCAGACAGCAGCAGGGGCATGGCCTTCTCTCCTTTTAGCTTCTGTTTCATCAGGCATTCATCTGTTGGCCAGGGCATGCTCATCGTCTGGGCTCTGGGAATGAATGGCGCCACCCATCCTGGAGCAGCTGATTTGGGGATGCTCCTGGGCTCTGTACCTCCTGCCCAGAGCACCCCCAGTCATGATGTGCTTTCTCTAGGGCTTGTCCTTTTCCCAGACTGTCCTGAGGGAGGCAGAAGTTGGAACCCCCATGTGGGGTTTGAAGGGCTGGGATAATGATGTGAAGTTTAAGACTCCTTAAGGCTGAAGAGAGAGAACCTTCAGGAAAGTCCTTTCTCATTGGCCTCTGCAGCCTGCAGAACTGGGGCAGGAGCAGGAGTCCCAGTAGGGGCAACAGGAGGCGGGCTGGTTAGTTGCCTCAGCCTGGATGCAGGACCTACGGGGTTCTCTTTCCTCTGCACAACCAAGAAGCAGTTTTCTGTTCCTTTCCTCCCATAACATTTTACTTTTTGCCGTCTTCTTCATTCCCTTCCATTTCTTTATAGAAAAACCTGGTATTTAGCTCAGGCCAAACTGTCTCAGCAGAAAGGTTGCCGTGGGCAAAACTGGGCCAAGCTATGGGCAGCATTGCCTGGGTGTCTGCTTTGTCCAGCCAAGCCTGGGGCCATTTGCCTCCACCTTCCCTCTCTTAACTCAGGCGCCCTGGCCCATCCAGAGCGGGGGCCTCTGCAGCCCCTGCCGTGCCTTAATTTGTCATGGCTGGAGTGTGGCCTGGAGTGTTCTGGACCAGCTCCTCCCCACATCTCCTTTGACTCAGTCACTGCTGACCCCAGGAGTTCTGATCCTCTGCTGTCCCACTTGACCTCCAGAGTGGAACTGAAGCGAGTGGCCGGGAGGCTTGAATTAGGGGCAGCAAACCAGAAGTTAATGTTCTCTCCACTGCTTGAAAGCCAAAGGCCCGACCTGTGTCCAGCTGCTACGTTCACGGTTATACGCTTTCTGTGCCTAGGTTCTGGGGGATTTATTTCCCTGCGCGTGCGTATTTGTAAACCTCGTTTCCTGGGTACTGGGCATGTGCCTGTCTGAGCCCCAGGCTGTCTGTCCATACCCCTACCGTTTGCTCTGTCTGTTCCCCGGGCACCTCCTGAGATGGTGTCGAGACAGTGCCCTGCTGGTTCCCAGGACTAGGGCCGTCACTGTTCTCTCCTGCCAGGAGATGCAGGTTACAAAGAGCTGAAGACAGCAGAGGGCAGGAGCTCGACAGATGAGCTTTTCTTTGTTTTCTTATATGTTAATGTTTTGAAAATGAAATGGGGGTTTTAAGTGGTCATTTAAACTTTTTTTTTTCCCCAATAAAGGTTTACCTTTTCTTCCTCCTACTGTTGTTCAATTTATTAGGCGCTGGAAGGCCTGGGTCCTTAAGGGATGGCCTAGAGAATGAGGTGGACAGAGGGTACGACACTGAGGTGCTTTTAATCCTGAGTGAGCATCTCAGGACCTAAATCCAGACCAGAGAAATTGGTTGTGCTCTCCCTCCATTAGCTGAGGCAAATGCCACTGCTCTGAGGCCTGGAGGAAACGGGGATTGAGGGAACCTCCTGCCCTGCCTTCGCTGGGGTGCAGCTCTCCCCCATCCTTGCTAAGCAAGAGGAGAATAGGTCTCTCAGCTGCTTTTCACTCTTACTCCATCTGCTGCCCCTTGCCGCCCATGGTGCGTGCTGCGCTTCAGGGAGTGTCTGTGGAAAGTGGGATCTGCTGTGTCTCTGGTCAGAGCTGTGGCAGCCGCGGGAGGCAGGGTGCATGTGGCAGATGCCTCTTGCTGAGTGTCTATTTCTGATCATCTCTTTTGCGTTCTGGAGCCAGGGCTGAGCTGCGAGCCATCTGTCGCTGGGAGAATTTCTCTTCCTTCCCCGGCCTAACTCGGCTATACTGTTATCCCCGTGCGGCCTCCCTACACAGGAAGCCCCGCCATGCCCACATGTCCGCGGGGAGCCCTTAGACCAGGTACGGCTTTCTGCCCTCAACCCGAACAGATGCCTGGGCCCACTCTAGGCTCTGAGGCAGTCTCCAGGTATCCAAATTATTTAAAGCTGCGTGGCTTGGGATCTGCTGATTCAGCAGAAAGAACACTTAGCCCGGGATTAGGAATGGCACTGGTCACCTGGCCTGGGAGGTCACTGACTGCAAGCGAGTTACTTCACCTCTGATGTTTCACTTCACAGCCTGTGGTGAGGTGCAAATTAATCACTAAGACTTGTGAGCAATTTTCAGATGCCAAAATTGTTTTGTTTGGGGTTTGGCAAGAAAGGGATGCTGAGAATTCTGGAGAATTTTTGGTAGGAATTGGGGGTGGCCAGTCTTCCCCAGCTAGGCCAGATGACTTGAATCCATGGGCAGGGCAGAATTTGAAAGGTCTGTGCTTTGAGGTTTAGCCCAGGAGAGCCCATGGGCGCCGCGGTCACTAAACGTGAGCCAGTACTTGGACCCTTTGCACAGTGTTTCCACTTAGACTTCTAAAGGTGGCCCTGCGAGGTGGCCATGCAGGTGTGGTTCAGATGGTCTTCATACAGGAAGTGGAGAAGTCCCGAAGGTAGAGACGGTCCCCTTTGCTTTGTGTATTGCCACCCCTGCCCTCAGATTGCAGCCTTTCCAGGAGCAGGAGACCGCCCCCCAGATTGCAGCCTTTCCAGGAGCAGGAGAGACGGGCTATCTCATAAGGTAGACACCGAGGGGAGGTGAGTGTGGGAGGGGAACTCAGAGGCAGCTTGAAGCTGAAGACCAAGAAGGGAAACCACCGACCAGGCTGCTGCTGTTCTGTTTGTTTTTCTCTCCAGTTCCTGCCCTGGTGTAGCTTTTAAGCGAGGATTCCTTTGTGATTGGTTAGTCATGTGCAGCATGGTGTCTCTTCTCCTGGGAGTGAAGACCCTCCTTCAGGCTCCACCAGGGGGCGCTGCTCTGTGGCCTTGGACTCCTAACACCCTGATGCACCTGTGTCTCCTCTCCCTCCTGAGCAACTGTGCAAAATGAAACTGCCAGGGCCAGTCCGACCAGAGCCTGGTAAGGGGGTAGATCTGCCTGGGCCAGGAGGACGTGCATTTCCTGTGTTTTGAAGGGAACTCTGCCTTCTGCCCTCTGGCCCATCTCCAATCATTCCTATGACCCGAAGGCCTGGGGCCTCGGCCAGCAGTGGAGTGGACTGGAGCCTGTTCACTCGGTCTCCCAGGTTTGTTTCCCACGACCAAGTCCTTCCTGGCTAGGAGCTGGAGGGAGTCCAGATGTCTGTTGCACATTGTCATGGGGACTGGACCAAACGAGCTGCCCTTCCAGCTGGCCCGAGGTAGCCCGTCCCCACCAGGCTCAGCAGCTGGTCCCCTTACTCCCACTAGCAAACACTAGGGCTACCAGTAAGCCTGCATCTGGCCTGGCCCTCGATAGGGCTGTCACTCCGTAGTGACACTGCCCTCCACAGTAGAAACGCCAGTTCTTGGCAGAAGGTGGCAATCTCTTCATCTTCAGGGCTCTGAGGAGTGCCCCCTGTATCCAAAGGGCCAACTCATTTAGACCTATGGATCTAAATCAGGCAGGCACGTGCTGTGAGCACGAGGAAAATGGGGCAGGCAATGAGGCAGCCCTTCCATCCCCACATAACCCACCCTCCCAGGAGTCTGCAATGATGTTGGACTCTGCATTCATTTTTTTTGTTTTTTTTGCTATAGGGTGCACTTGCTGGCGACAGAGATAAGAGAGAAAGGGATAGTGAGAAAGCACTCTCCCCCCTGGGGGCGATGGGTGCACCGCAGTCCCTTCTCCATTCTCTTGGGCTCTTGGGCACCCACACTGCTGCTGACGAGGCAGCCGGGCTGTGCTGAACTGCACTTGGAGCCAGGGTCTCGTGGGGACTGGCTGGGACAAGAAGTAGGAAATACCATCTCCTCTCATACACGTCTGGGTTTACTCAAACTGAATGAAAGAGCAAAGTTGCAGGGAGGAAGGGTGAAGGCTGAGCAATGCCGTGGGGTCCAAAAGATACTTGCTAATTCTGGTTCCAACTGTTCGGGCACCGGAAAAGGGCCGGAGCTGGAGGGACAATGTGAGGATAAAGGGGGTGGACCCAGAGGGTGTTTCCCAAAGCTGTGGCTTTAGCCACCATGGATTCCGGGCTGGCCACTGGCCACTGCGATGACAAGGGCTTTCATTCTCTGTTGCTATGGTTTCCTGAAGCAAGCTCATCTCCCAGGAGAACACGCCCCTTCCTTTTCCTTTGTTCCTGATGGACAGGGCAGACTGAGACAGGAAGAGCAGGGCTCTGGCACGAACCCCGGGGGGCAGACTTAGGCCTCGAGGGGCTTGTGAGGGAGGAGGGGTTCTCCTGTGACAGAGAGAGAGATAACACGCCCCTTCCTTTTCCTTTGTTCCTGATGGACAGGGCAGACTGAGACAGGAAGAGCAGGGCTCTGGCACGAACCCCGGGGGGCAGACTTAGGCCTCGAGGGGCTTGTGAGGGAGGAGGGGTTCTCCTGTGACAGAGAGAGAGATCCACTCCTGGACTGGGTTAACGGGAACTGAGTGGTTTCCTCAGGCTGAGGATGAACGTCCTGGACCCCAGCAATTTTATCCTTCCTCAGGGATGGAAGGTTGCCTGTTTGCTGCTTTAGACTCCCCCCATCTCTGATGGGGTTCTTCGTGGGCCCCAGGGGGCTGCTACCCATGGGGGGTCGGCTCATGCTCCAGCTCCCAAAGGAAAGGAGACGAGGCTGGCCCATGGTTTCTGCCCGGCCCACACACCGGAGCTGGGGAGACTTTATTCATTCCAGGGAGAAGTGAGAACAGGAATGAGACGAAGTGTAAAAGTGAATACTGACGAGAACAGGAAGAACAGAGTCTAGTACAGCACACAGCCAAAGGCAGCTGAAGGGAGGCACGGCCATCATCCGGGGCTCTCCTCTCGCCACACTTGAAGGAAAAGGGAACTTGGGGCTCTGGAGCACCAAGACAGGGCAAGGGGGTCAATACTGATGGCCTTGCAGCTAGCACCATGGCAGCCAGTCGGTAGGAGGCGATGGGACCCTGTGGGGTGGACCTCCTCCCACCCGTGCCCCTTAGAGAACTGGTCCCCATCTTCGGTACATTGGACTCAGTGCACAGGCCCCCCTGTTCGAGGCCTGGGGGTGCTGCAGCAGCTAAGCCAGGAAATGTTCTGGGCAGGAGACCCAGGCACACGAGCACACGCCTCTGGGCACTGGACCCCACTCCTGAGCCAGGAAGTCAAGTCAGAGCTGGAAGGGGCGGGGCCCGAGATGACAAAAGGCCTGGAAATCAGATGTGGTCAACTTGGCCCTTTCTGTTTCTCTAAGCCTTGGTCCTGGGCTTTATCATCCCAACCCCAGGCCAGAGGGCTGCTGCTTCCCCACTTGGCCAAGCCTGGGTGAGGACGGGACGGCTGGCATGATGGCTGAGGGGACTGTGAGAATGCACTGAGGCCCTGGAGGGAGAGGACTGGCTGTCCGGAGAACAGGAAGGCGCTTCACACCCGGCTTCCCAGGGTTCCGACCCTGGCACCTAACACACGGAGCCAGGCTTTGGGGAGACCACATGGTCACCCCCCCATCCAGCCCACCCTCACCAAGCAGCTTCCTCTGACCTGATTCACCTGGACCCTCCCCAGCCAGCAGCCCCCACCTGGGGCAGAAGAGCTGGGGCCACGTCAGCCAGGTACCTGTCCCTCACAGGGAGTGAGGTGAAGTGATGCATGGGTGGTGACTAAGGCCCCGAAGCCCCTGCCTCTCTGCCTCCCCAGATACCTTGCAGCCAGGCCAGCCCCTCCCCAGAGAGCAGGGCCTGTGTAAACACGCCCAGGAGGGGAGGCGGGGTTGCTACATATGAGAAATCGTGAACATAAATGAAAAAGCACCTCTGTGTCCTGTCCACAGCCCAAGGTCTCAGCTCAGGAAGCTGAGTGCCGGGAGAAGACCCTCTGGGGTCAGCTCTCCCCTCCCCAGGATGGGGCGGGGCTTCCTTCTGTCCCTCCCCCCTCCCCAGAGGGCTCCAGGATCCTGGGGCGAGAGCGCCTTCTGGGGCTCCAACCAGGAGACACTTCCCCCACATCTCTCAGCTCCCAGGTCACTCATCCCCTGCCCTGGAACCCAGCCCTTCCCAGGAAGTTCCCAGAGCTTCTGGGGCCACATCCTGACCCAGAGAGGCCTCACACCTCCTAGGCAAATGCAGAAACCTGAAGACCACCATTCCCCAGTGACATGGAAATGGAATGGTGTCAGGGTCACCATGCCCCTCCAATGGATCTGGCCGGGTTATAGCCCAGGAGGGAGGTTAGGAACCCCCCTAGACCCAGCTGGCCCCATCAGGGCTCTAGTGAGGCAAGGGACTGGACCAGCTGGCCTTCTGGGTGCCCCTGGCCAGGCCCTGCCAGGTCTGCTTTGGTCCAAGAGCTGGTGGTTTGAAAAGCTGCCAGCTGCCGGTGTCTTCCTTGCCGGACGCGCTGAGTATAGGCATCCTGCCCCTGGCCATCCATCTCCTGGCTGGCCGAGAGCCTCTCCATCCCCACTCTACCCGCTCTGGTGACCCAGCAGCTGCAGGGGGTCTCTGAGTTCTCTCTGGTCTACGAGGAGAGCCAAGAGGATGAACCCAGGGCAGCGGCCCAGTCTTGGAGGAGTCCCAGCAGCGGTTCTTCTCCTAAGCTGCAAGGACCTGCCCCCCTGCAGCCCAGCTCTGGGAAGCACAGAACTTCCACACCCTCCTACCCCAAAGTACCTCAGTAGACCTCTCCCCAGCTCAAGCTCTCCCTACTCCAGAGGTCGCAAACCGGCACACTTTCACCGGTACTGAGGCTTTAACATGTTTTGAACTGATTGCCAACATTAAAAACAAAAATCACATTTTACATGACAGTTCAGAGTTCTGACCTCTGAAAGATCGGACAAATCTGGCAATACAGGGCCTGCACTGTGAGAACCCCTAGGCAGCAATAGCCCCTTTAATGGGGTTAACTGTGACCTCTGCAGTTTGCCACAGTCCCCACCCAGCCCTGCGGCCCTCCCTTTTGTCACCTGCAGTCCCTTGGGCATTTGAGTTTACAACCCTAATTCTGATCCCAACTTACTCAGGCCCCAACCCTCTCTGTAGCCTCAGTGACAGCTGGCCATGACCAACTCAGCCTCAGTAAAAAGAAACCTTAATGGCCACCTCATCCAGCCACCCTTCCACAACCTGAATCCTCTCTACAGCTTCCTGACAAGTAGCCATTTAGTCTTTGCGGCAGCGAACTCGCCACTCCCCAGGGCAGCCTGGCCCTACCCTCTCCCTCACATCCTTTCTCACTTACGCCTCTCAGTCTTGGACTCTGTCCCACCTCAGGGGCTGCACTGTGCCCTCCTCCTACACCTCTGTGACCTGAGCCTCCAAAACCGACTCCCAGCCCTGCCGACCTCTCTCCACTCCCTATTGGCAGGGACCCCTCGCTTCCTGCCAAGCATCTCATGCCTGGCGGGCAGGCTATGGATGACCCCAGCTGCTCCGGCTCCTCTCCACAGGGCCCTGTGAGGAACTAAGGCAAGCCACAGGCCTGGCCCTCACTGCCACCCAAGCCTGGGTGGACTGCTAGATGCAGGAGGCGGTCCCAGCCCAAGCATCCTGGGTTCTTCCTGATTTTGCCAGCAAGAGCTGCCATGCAGAAATGGGGCCTGCAGAGGCCATCACTGGCACTGAGTGTCCACCCGGTCCCCATGCCCAGTCACAGTTCTCAGACCGGCACCCGGCTCTGCTCAGTCCCGTCATGCTGACCCCAGTGCAAGTCTGGGCCCTGCATAAAGCTCAACTCCTGTGCCGGGGGCCCCTGGCTGCAGCAGCAGGCAGAGCAGGGGCTGAGTAAGCAGACCAGCAAGGGCCAGGACTCTTCACCCTGTGTCCTTCCCCAGGCTCTCCCACAACACCCCTGCAGCCTGGGGCTGCACTGGAGGCAGGACGACCCACACAGCACTGCAAGTGGGGGCTGCCAAGGCCCCAGTGCTCTGCTGAGCCACTGACTTTTGCCCTTGGGGCAGTTGTGGCCTGTGCTAAGCTCCTGACTTGCGAGCTACACAAGGACCCCTCTCAGGACAATTCCTACCCTGCTTCCCTTTCCCTGGGTTAAATTCTGCCAGGGCAGGCAGAACAGGAGACACCCCTGCACTCCTCAGCCCCACCCCCGCCACAGGCCTGGTAGGGCTGGGCTACTTCCCATAGATAGGATGCACCCAAATCACAGAGACGCCAGGGTGGAGGCACCAGAAGAGCTAGCACCTCCTCACACAGCCCCATGACACTTAGATCTCCTAGCAATGGCCTTCTGGCCATCAGCAGATCCATTTGTCTTAAGTTTCTCCCAAATACCGTAAGTTTCAGTTGTAGAGTTAAAAACTCTCCCCCACCCCCAAAAATTTACTGCCTCCCTGCCCACAGTCAGGGGGTTTGGCTCAGTGGAAGGAGAAACAGCTTTGGGGGCGGAGCTGGAACGCACTCTCCCTCAGCCCTGCCCCACTTCTTCACCAGCCCCTGCTTCTCCATAGCCAGGCTGGTTCCAGCAGGTGAGCCCTGGTCCCCAGAAGCAGGTGAGGCCTGTGGAGCTGGCACCTGCCTCACACTCGGATCTGGTACCCGTTGAGGTCTGGCATGGCTTTGGGCTCAGAAGGCTTCTTCTCACCCGAGGGCCTGTGGGGGGGAGAGCAGAGTAGGGGGAAGTGAGTGGTTGGTCAGAGAGGGGGAGCTGCCCCTGGTGGCGTCCCTGAGGGGCCCTCGCTGCAGCGGTAGACCGAGTGCTCTCCAGAGTGTGGTCCTGGCTCGCTCTCACCTGCACTGACTCTACCTAGCTGGCATCTAATGTGCAAACCCTCCTCCTGGGAGAACTCGTTGCCTTGGGAGGGGGGGCGTCCCTTCTCCCCTGCCTCTCACATAATCCATCTGTCGCATGCTTTGAAGATACAAGTGGCCCTGGTGACCTGGCACAAGGTAGCCAGGAACTGGCTGGGTGTTGTCTGCTCTGGGGAAATGGGGCCATCTTGCTATGGGAGATACCAACCCATGAACACATAAATCCACTGTCACAAATCACCTCCCTTGAAGGGGAGAAAAAAAAAAAAAAGAGAGGGAGAGAGAGTGAGTGGGAGAGAGAAGAGAGTGGTGGGGGGAAGTGATCTAGTGATCTAGAAGATGAGAGGGAAGGATGGCTTCTTCGGTCCACCCAGGCGCCATGCCATCCCGTTGCTCACCGTCTCTCGCTGCGGCTGTTCCTGTGGTGGGGGCTGGACTGGCCCCGCTGTGGGGAAGAAACATCCTTCTTCCGGTCCTTGGTGGGAGAGGGAGGGCCCGTCCCTTTGCCAATCTAGGTGGGGAGGAAGAAACAACAGCATCTCCAGGACTGCCCCGCAAGAAGCCACATGTTCCTGGGGGCTGGACCTGGGAAGCCTCCAGCAATGTTCTGCTCCGTCTCTGGGTCTTTCTGAAACTGCTTCCCAGGCAGTAAAGCTGCCAGGCAGGAGTTCCTCAGCAGGACTGGCCGGTCCCCATAGGTCCCTGAAAGTAGCATGGAGTGCCATAATACCATAAAAAAGCCCTCAGGAAAAGGCCCGTTTTCCAAAGCCAGTTGAACGGGCTAGTTGGGGAAGTGGTCCCTGTCTGAGCTTTGGGCTGGGATCCTACCACCCCCAGGGTGACACTGGCTCTCTCAAGTCAGTCTGAAGTCAGACTGGGGGCTCTGTCTCTGAGTAAAAAACGCATGAGAAAGCAAATGAATCATCCTTCATGTTGACTTGCGTTTCAAATGTGGGGTGCACTATGGGGTGCTGGAGAGGGGCAGTGCCACCCTGAGAAAGGTCTGTGGAGCTTGGCACAGCACTGAAGGCCAGGTGACTACTGGCTTCAACTCTGGGTCCAAACAGTTGCCTTGAAGACACACTGACATTCTGAGCGGCAAGGTCCAGGATGCCGGGGGTGAGGTGAGGGGCCCTCCCAGAAGGCAGAGGAGCCCTCTCTATTGCAGGTGGGCTGCAGCCCCGTTCTGCCCTGGGAAGGCACTGGGACCCCACAAGGTCCTAGCCTGGGGTGGCAGGGCGGGGCCACCCTAGCTCTTACACCCTGCCCCTGCTGCCTGTCACACCTGGATTGCACATCGTGAGGCTGAGCTCCAGCCCCATCTGCCTCTCACAAGTCTTGGGGTTCCCCACCCTGAAAATGGAGCCACCACCTACTGCCCTGGCTGCCAGGAGCAGCAGTGGGCGGGAAAGTGCAGAGCAGGAGGCTGCCTGGAGGGGCTGAGTCACGGTGCAGGGCCACTGAGCAACACCCAACAAGGGAGGCACAAACAGACAGACACACACACAAGGACACACATACACACACATATGCACACACATACGTGCATGCACACACACACCGTCTGCACATACACACCACCCAGGGGCCCCAGGAAGGCCAAAATTCTGCCAGGTAGAAGGGGATTGGGCTAACTCAACAGCTGAACCCAACTCTTCTAAGTTCCATCCTCCCCACCCCAACTGCACATAAGCCCGCGGGGAAAAAGGAAGAAAGACCACCGTCCTGCCTTCCGGCCCCCTGATGTTCCTTTCTTCTGACCCCCCTCTTTACTGGAGGCGGTTGGGGGGGGGGCTGGGGGAACATTCTGCCAGGTAGAAGGGGATTGGGCTAACTCAACAGCTGAACCCAACTCTTCTAAGTTCCATCCTCCCCACCCCAACTGCACATAAGCCCGCGGGGAAAAAGGAAGAAAGACCACCGTCCTGCCTTCCGGCCCCCTGATGTTCCTTTCTTCTGACCCCCCTCTTTACTGGAGGCGGTTGGGGGGGGGGCTGGGGGAACTCAAGCCAACGGATCCATG